AGAAAGTGTGCATTATAATCGAGAATATGCGACTATTCTATTAATCTTTAAAATATTGGTATTAAATCTGTCTTACAAAATCACGACGACTCCTGTAAATCGAGTCTTTTATTCTTATCCGATAAGAATAAAATACAATACCGATATAGTCCTATCGTTGAAAAAATTTGTTTATTTTTGCTCACTTTCGAGTTTTGCTTAGTAGAAATGGCTAAAAAGTGCGCAAAATACGTACGGAAATACGGTATTACGGCACCACCTGTCTAAAAGACCACATTTTGAAGGAACCATGGGTGGTCTCCATAGACAGGTTTTACTGTATATAGATTTAGCAGTTATTTTTATGTATGTATTCTTGAACGACACAAGTATGCATTACGCTACCATAGAATTTAGTTTTATTTCTTTTAAGTACTTAAAAATAAAAAAAATACTTCATAAGTTTTAAGTGATTTCAAGAAAACAAATAAGAAAAATTAATTTAATTTTAAAAAGTTTTTTTCGATCTAAAAAATAAAATGTTGTTCTTCTAAATATATAAATATATAAAATTACTTGTCCTGACTGACTGAGTCACTGATAGATTCATCATCGCCCAGAGCAAACCGCTGAACCTAAACAGGTGAAATTTGGTACACAGTTAGGGTACGTCATGAAAACGCACAATAAGAAGGGATTTTTCGAAATTTCCTCGCGGAGGGAGAGGGAAGGCATTAAGGCTTAACCGGAAGAACGGCTTCTACTGTACTGTTTTACATGCGATTTTTTGTTACGTTTAGTTTTCATTAAGTACTCAGGTGTATTAAATTAATAAAATTTCAGACATTGTTATAAATGTTTTTATATATTTCGATTTTTTAACCAAATCTTCGAACTTTTTTAAATTCTAATTTGTTATTGCACATTGCTTCGATTATAGAACGATTGTAAACATTCCAGAAAATTGATCAAATTGAAAATAGTTCGTTTGATTCTCGGCAATTTTCATCATTATCAGAGGTAGGTGTTATATAACAATTACTATGGTTGTTGAAATACTAAATATAAATGGAGTTTGCTTGCAAAATCCGCGCGGGATAAGCCGCTGGTAACAGCTAGTATAATATAATCTGTATTAATTAAATTTTTATTATCTATTTATTCATTTAGTCAATGTAATTTATTTCAACAGATAATTTATTTTTAATAATATGCATACATTTACAGTTTAAAACTGAAAATATCGATATATTCAGATAAACAAGCAGATTTTACTTATTAAGATCAAATCTGTCTAAGTACAAATATGGAGGAATGTCAAAAGGTAAATTTTTTTATTGATAAACTTAATATTATTTGAGACATAAGAAAATACATAAAAGACTATTTTATCTATACATGTTACAGAAACGATTAAAAAAGCTATACATTGCGACTATTTCAATTATGCCATCAACCATAAGCTTCATTCAATCGCGCAAGTAAAACAATTACCGTATAATCACAGAATTTACTAAACATCTCAGCTGTTAAATCTGATAACAAATGTTTAATATTTAATATAAGTCTATAACTTCTCATAAAATATAAAGCAAAACAAATATGAATTAGTTAAATTTTAACGGATTTTAAATTTTCACCGATTTTTAAAAAAAACAAGAATTTATATTTGAAATTCCAAATCAAATTTAAATTCGTTTTTTTTCCTCTGTAAAGAGTGTATATTTAATGCGTATAAACAAAAGACTACACACTTTTAACAGAAATGAAGTACAGTATTTTCAAGTAAAAGATAATTTATTGTTTCCTGCTACAACAGTTTTTTAGTAATTAAAATGATGTAACGCTTTAAGATTCTCTTGACTAACTGCAAGTACATGATTTTATGTTAATGATTATGTTTTATAGCATACATATTTGTCATATGACATTATAATAAATTTTATGATCTTATAATTAATATTAAAATTAATTTTATAACACTTTAATTAACATATTAAGTTTTAATTATTGTAACTTTACAGGAATTGGAAAGTTTGGCCTTAAATACAGCAACAGGAAAAATAGCAGACAGTAATTATTTTTTTTAAATATACAGTAAATCTCTACAAGAAAATAAAACAATATTATAAAATATATTTTTCACTATTATCAGGTATTCATATAACAGACTCAACTGTCCATGTGGGAAATGTTTTTAATACAAATCAACCATCCAGTTCAAGTGATGAAAAAGATTCAGGTAATTGCAAAGAATATAAGCTGGAATATTTTTTTTTTAATTATGTAATGTGAATTAATAATAATAATATACAGAAACGATTGATTTATATTAATGAATTTTAAGTTTATAATAGAAATTTATAAATGACAACAAATAAGGAAAATTAGTCTGATTTTGCCAGTAATTTTTGTTTAGAAAAGTCTTTTATACAAGCATGGTTTATTTGTTATTGACTTTTATTGTTAGAATACAAATATAAACATTTGAATTAACTGTACAGTTTGTGTAGTAGTTAGCAAATTTTGCATCAAACCACTTGCAGAAACATTAGATTACTTGGCAACAAATATAAGATAAACTTTTAAAATATAACGTGGCCTTTTGTTTGTCTAATATCGCAGCTTATACTATTGTGTTGCCTTTATTTAACATTTAATTCTAAAATTAAGTAACATTGAAACATAAATGTATATTAATTTAACAATTGGTAAACTAAAATAAATTGTATTTTTCACTTGTGTAAGACTGATAATAATAAAATAATGTATTTATTCTATAAAATTACAAAAATATATACAGTGGTGCCTCGTATAACGGTACTTAATTCGTTCCCGGTGCGCATCCGTTAGGTGAAAAGTCCGTTATACGAAACGCATTTTCCCATAGAAATACATGTTAAAACATAGGGGAGAGCGGGGTAACTTCGGCATACGGGGCAAGTTTGTCAAGCGTTTTTGTTTAAAACAAATTAAAAGGAGACTTTGGTTATAAGTTAGGCAGTTTAGTTTTATCGGTGGCTTGTCGAGTGTAGTGTTTTTATTGTTCTCCAACAAGCGTAGTTGAATTATTAAGCAAATTTTCATTTTCGTTCAATTCCATATAATATTTTTTTTCCATTTATATTGAATTGGCAGGTTTTGTTATAATTCCATGATAACGAAAGTTACTTTTCCTGTTAGAAGGATGTAACTTCAACTTATTCACGTGGCCAGATCGTGGCTTGGCATTCTGTTCTCAGGGTTGTACTTAATGTTTCGAAATCATGACTAGCGGGGTAAGATCGGCAACATAAAGCCACATTAGAAGCAAAGGATAAAAATCAAACAGATGATAAATGAAAACATGTTTGCATTTGTTATTCATGTATATATGTCTTTGAACTTGCATTTCGTTGTAATAATATTAAATGGGTGTTGGATTTGTATTTCTTTGTTTTAATAGTGAATTCCAACTTATACATTGTTAATAACATAATTTTATATACGTGCCTATCTTGCCCCATTACTGTTGCCCCTATACCAGGGGCAACTTTAATAAAAATAATTAAAATAATTACAACTTTACAAAAAGAGAGAAGTTGCCGATCTTGCCCCTATACCCGGGGCAACTTCGTCAATTTCTCTCTTCTTGTAAAGTTGTAATTATTTTAATTATTTTTATTTCCAAACTGATTTTAACCAGTTCTATAGTAAGGTAACATTCCAATAGACAATATGCAAAGCTTTTTTTTCAGTTTACAACAGTATTTATTACACAAAATTTAAGTAAAGCTTAACATGCCGATCTTGCTCCGGTCTCCCCTATATGTCCCGCAGCATAAAATAACCGTACTGTACTATTAAAAAAATGAAAATGGAGCAGTCACCAATTATGCCGGGTAGTCAGATGTTGTGAGGAGGAGGTGAAGGAACACTTTCTTTACACATTCATACACATACTGACTTTTTACACATTGCAGCAGGTCTCTTCTTATTGTTTTTTAATCGGAGTCAGATTTAGGAGAGGCTATCGGAGCTTGCAGCGTCATCTCCTCTTTTTCCATCCTTTGTTTTTTGGCATCTTGCTTTTTGAAAAACATGTCCAATGTAGTCTGTTTCTTTTTCTTTATCAACACCTGTCAGAAATGACGGGCAAGGGTGTCATTGTAGAGATTATTAATCCTGTTGGCCTCAGCTCTGTTTGGATAATGAGTGTTGGTAAACTCCTGAACCTCTCACCATTTGACAAGGAAGTTTTTGTCAACTTTCACTCCTTCTGATGATGTCATGCTTTGTTTCAATTGAAATCACCTTTCTGTTTTTTTATAAGCCGAGATTTGCACAACACCTAAATAAATGTAAATACTCTGCACTGAGGTGATGTACTGTAGGTAATAAACAAGGGAGCAAGCCGAATCCCAACGGGAGCTATGTACTTCAGATATACTAATAATATATTCTAATAATACTAATCTATATATGTAAAAATGAATGTGTGTGTGTGTCTGTGTGACTGTCTGTCCTTCATGCATTACCACACCGTTTATCCGATTGCCGTGAAACTTTAGGAAGTTGTTTAATATACTCCGGCGAAGGTTTGTGGCATAGCACGATTGCCATGAAACTTTGGAAAGTTTTTTAATACACTCCCGCGAAGTACATTTATCCTACGATANAAAATGATAAAATGTAAATTTAATTTTATCATAACGAGTTTGCTTGAATTTCGTTTCTTCTGAGATCGCAGCAATGCGCGACGGTTAAGCTAGTATTTTATAAAAATAGCAGATTGTCATTGGCAACGGCAAACGAGTGGAAATATCATTCGCACTTGTTCGCAGAAAGTCCGTTGTTCGCAGCGTCCGTTATTCGAGGCGTACGTTATACGAGGCACCACTGTATAGGTCTATATATGAATATGTGTAGAAGAAATTGTTATTAAAGTTTAAATAAGCTAATCAAATGCACAAAACCAGTATCATGAATCGACCTTAATACATGTAGTGAGAGGTCGTTAACACTGGTTAGGAAGGCGCTAAATGTAGGTTTGTTGTATTGTGTATGGCAAATAAAAAGAATGTAAGGAAAAATAAGATTTACCTGTACGATTCTTGATAGTGATAACAAAGAAGCATCTCTTATCTATCAGGACCCGACGGTATCCAAACAAAACAATGACATAAATAATGGAATAAGTTAACCAACCAGCAATATTAATTAATTAAAAGTTAAAATAATGTTGACTCGACGAAAGAAACAGAATTACAGACGAGAAGCCATCACCGTAATCTCTCTTATCTAAAGATAAGAGAAGTGAATACGTAACACTTATTTGTCTTTTAGTCATACGTGTGACGATCATAAAACTTACACCACGTGAATAGCAAAGATAGCAATGTTACCTTTTACCTATACCAGTACAGTTTCGGGGTGGATAGTTTTAGTTTCGTTTTCTGTCTTCCTTTCTCACTAACTCCAGCGAAAATATATCAATAAAATCTTGTTTTTTTTGTGATTGTCAAGTAGTGGAGCACATCCGAAACAAAAAAGGACGAAGAGTAGAGGTAATTGAAATGTTTTAATTATAATTTCTACAACATAAGTTATCAATACTAACCATTAATAAAAAGAATTAATTTCTTATTTTTTCATATTGTATTTTAATCTGTAAACAAAATAAGTATTTGTGAACGAACTATTTCGAATTTTCTACTTCAAATTATACAAACCGCATGTCATTCTATTGTACAGAACTGTCAAAGTTTTAGGACTATTTTATAAGCTCTTCTATATCCTGTGGTCACTAAGAGGGCCACTTGTATCGACCATTTTGGTTTCGGCTAGGCCCAAAATGAGTTGGCAAGATGGGGCCGACGTATCCAAAGCCCATTTCGAAAAATCCTTGTGTTTATTTCACTCTTTAGGAATCCATCCCGGGTCCTGAAGTAGTAAGCTGCCATCTTAATTAAACAGTCGTATTGCTTTATACACACATTTTAGGACTATAACTATAGGTTTTCTTCGATCTAAAACATGAAATCTTTATCCTATAATATAAACTCTATTAATTAAATTTGTATAATTTATTTATTCATTTCATCAATGCAATTCATTTCAACGGATAACATTTTTTTAATAACGTGCATACGTTTACATTTTAGATAAGAAAATACCGATATATTCAGATAAAAAACAAGATCTTTAAACTTTGATCTTCGTACTGAAATATGGAGGGAAGTCAGGTAAAGTTCATTTTTTTATTGATAAAGTTAACATTATGTGTGACATAAAAAAATACATAAAAGATATCTATACAAGTTACATTATAGGCATTTCAATTATGTAATCAACCATAAGATTCATTCAATCGTGCAACTGAAAGAATTACTGTATAATCACAGAATTTAGCAAACATCTAAGCTATTAAAGCTGATAAATAATGTTTAAAATTCTATATAAGTCTATCTTTCTCGTGAAAATATAAAGGAAAACAAATAACAAATGATTGGATTTTGACTTATTTATTGTTCCATGTAACAACAGTTCTTTATTAATTAAAACGATGTAACATTTTCAGTTTCTTTTGACTAACTGCACGTACACGATTTTATGTTAATTATTTTTTTATATAGCATACATATTTGTCATATGACCATATAATAAATATTAAAATTAATTCTATAACATTTTAATTATTGTAACATTACAGGAATTGGAAAGTTTGGCTTTAAATGCAGCGACAGAAAAAATAGCAGACAGTAATTATTTTTTTAAATATACAGTAAATCACTACAAGAAAATAAAAACATTATTTTATAATTCTTAATAAAACATTATTTTATAATTCTTAATAAAACATTATTTTATAATTCTTAATAAAACATTATTTTATAATTACTTTATCACTATTATTAGGTATTAATATAAAAGACTCAACCGTCCTTGTAGGAAATGTTTATAATATAAATCAGCCATCCAGTTCAACTGATAAAAATGATTCAGGTAATTGCAAAGAATATAAGCTGAAGTATCTTTTTTAAAATAAAGAATGTGAAGTGAATTAATAATAATATTTGCCAGTAATTTTTGTTTAGAAAAGGTCTTTATATAAGACATGGTATATTTATCTACTGACTTTTATTGTTAAAGCACAAATATATAAGTTAGAATTAAGAGTATGGTTTGTCTAGTAGATAGCAATATCTTCATATTTTATTAATTAAATTTATTTGTTTAAGTAATTTTTTTAAGTCTTCAAGCGAAAATACCCCTATTGTAGCTTAATGACCAATCATAAATACATCCTACATAAGAACATTTGTTCCACAGTAATGTCAATCAGCCTAGGAACAACAACTAATCCATATTATTTATTATTCTGGTTGAAAGTTTAGTTCCTATTTTTAAAATACTTTACACTTGCTATAAAGTAATGAATTTTTGGATATATTTTGAATTTACACAAGCAGTGTTTAAATTAATAATTTTTAATTTTTTAAGTATAATAAAAACTATAGAAATATTATATTTATATGTATAATATTTTTCATAATATTTTCAGATACAGAGAGAGTCTTTAATGAATTGTTAAAAGACTAAAAATGCTTACTTAAAATCTTTATGGAGTGAAAGAAGTAAAGACTCTCCCTTAAAAGACTACTTTGTCCAACTTACAGTTCAAAAAGCTGATTTATTAGGGGAAAAGGCAGGAAAAACTATTCATTTTACAGAGATTTTTCCAAAATCAATCGATGAACATGTTGTAATGTTAGTCACTGGTGATCCCGGTTATGGCAAAACTACCTTTTGTAAAAAAATAGCTTATGATTGGGGTATCGATACATCCCGTACCGAATACTTAGGACATTATGATTTTACTGTCGTCCTTATTTTGCGAGAATTAGAGAAGAAAAGTATAACAGATGAGATTCTCCAATGTATCTGTGAAAATACCGATTCTAGTTCTAAAAAGACGTTAAGAAAAAGTGAATTTAATTTGTTAATCATTCTGGATGGATTTGACGAAACACATGTTAAAGATTCAATTATACATTTTATTGAAAAAGATTCATTCCGTATTTCTAAAGAAATGACAATTCGTGTTACTTGCCGTCCTCGCGCTGCCGAAAATATAAGAAAATANATATATAAAAATGGGGAATATCGCACTTCTAACAATCTCTGCGAGTATGTAGGCTAAATTTTAAGAATCCGTGCTTCTCACATGTACAGTACAACTGTATGTGGCCTGTTCACGCGTCGGAAAACCTTCTGATTTATTCGTGTACGCATCAGACGGAAAAACAAAAAATATAAGCACTCCAATAAATAAATAGAATTGAAACGACACTTTAAAATGTTTTCCCAATGAAAATGAACAATAATAATAATAATAATAAGTTTCAATAAAAATGATAAAATGTAAATTTAATTTTATCATAACGAGTTTGCTTGAATTTCGTTTCTTCTGAGATCGCAGCAATGCGCGACGGTTAAGCTAGTATTTTATAAAAATAGCAGATTGTCATTGGCAACGGCAAACGAGTGGAAATATCATTCGCACTTGTTCGCAGAAAGTCCGTTGTTCGCAGCGTCCGTTATTCGAGGCGTACGTTATACGAGGCACCACTGTATAGGTCTATATATGAATATGTGTAGAAGAAATTGTTATTAAAGTTTAAATAAGCTAATCAAATGCACAAAACCAGTATCATGAATCGACCTTAATACATGTAGTGAGAGGTCGTTAACACTGGTTAGGAAGGCGCTAAATGTAGGTTTGTTGTATTGTGTATGGCAAATAAAAAGAATGTAAGGAAAAATAAGATTTACCTGTACGATTCTTGATAGTGATAACAAAGAAGCATCTCTTATCTATCAGGACCCGACGGTATCCAAACAAAACAATGACATAAATAATGGAATAAGTTAACCAACCAGCAATATTAATTAATTAAAAGTTAAAATAATGTTGACTCGACGAAAGAAACAGAATTACAGACGAGAAGCCATCACCGTAATCTCTCTTATCTAAAGATAAGAGAAGTGAATACGTAACACTTATTTGTCTTTTAGTCATACGTGTGACGATCATAAAACTTACACCACGTGAATAGCAAAGATAGCAATGTTACCTTTTACCTATACCAGTACAGTTTCGGGGTGGATAGTTTTAGTTTCGTTTTCTGTCTTCCTTTCTCACTAACTCCAGCGAAAATATATCAATAAAATCTTGTTTTTTTTGTGATTGTCAAGTAGTGGAGCACATCCGAAACAAAAAAGGACGAAGAGTAGAGGTAATTGAAATGTTTTAATTATAATTTCTACAACATAAGTTATCAATACTAACCATTAATAAAAAGAATTAATTTCTTATTTTTTCATATTGTATTTTAATCTGTAAACAAAATAAGTATTTGTGAACGAACTATTTCGAATTTTCTACTTCAAATTATACAAACCGCATGTCATTCTATTGTACAGAACTGTCAAAGTTTTAGGACTATTTTATAAGCTCTTCTATATCCTGTGGTCACTAAGAGGGCCACTTGTATCGACCATTTTGGTTTCGGCTAGGCCCAAAATGAGTTGGCAAGATGGGGCCGACGTATCCAAAGCCCATTTCGAAAAATCCTTGTGTTTATTTCACTCTTTAGGAATCCATCCCGGGTCCTGAAGTAGTAAGCTGCCATCTTAATTAAACAGTCGTATTGCTTTATACACACATTTTAGGACTATAACTATAGGTTTTCTTCGATCTAAAACATGAAATCTTTATCCTATAATATAAACTCTATTAATTAAATTTGTATAATTTATTTATTCATTTCATCAATGCAATTCATTTCAACGGATAACATTTTTTTAATAACGTGCATACGTTTACATTTTAGATAAGAAAATACCGATATATTCAGATAAAAAACAAGATCTTTAAACTTTGATCTTCGTACTGAAATATGGAGGGAAGTCAGGTAAAGTTCATTTTTTTATTGATAAAGTTAACATTATGTGTGACATAAAAAAATACATAAAAGATATCTATACAAGTTACATTATAGGCATTTCAATTATGTAATCAACCATAAGATTCATTCAATCGTGCAACTGAAAGAATTACTGTATAATCACAGAATTTAGCAAACATCTAAGCTATTAAAGCTGATAAATAATGTTTAAAATTCTATATAAGTCTATCTTTCTCGTGAAAATATAAAGGAAAACAAATAACAAATGATTGGATTTTGACTTATTTATTGTTCCATGTAACAACAGTTCTTTATTAATTAAAACGATGTAACATTTTCAGTTTCTTTTGACTAACTGCACGTACACGATTTTATGTTAATTATTTTTTTATATAGCATACATATTTGTCATATGACCATATAATAAATATTAAAATTAATTCTATAACATTTTAATTATTGTAACATTACAGGAATTGGAAAGTTTGGCTTTAAATGCAGCGACAGAAAAAATAGCAGACAGTAATTATTTTTTTAAATATACAGTAAATCACTACAAGAAAATAAAAACATTATTTTATAATTCTTAATAAAACATTATTTTATAATTCTTAATAAAACATTATTTTATAATTCTTAATAAAACATTATTTTATAATTCTTAATAAAACATTATTTTATAATTCTTAATAAAACATTATTTTATAATTCTTAATAAAACATTATTTTATAATTCTTAATAAAACATTATTTTATAATTCTTAATAAAACATTATTTTATAATTCTTAATAAAACATTATTTTATAATTACTTTATCACTATTATTAGGTATTAATATAAAAGACTCAACCGTCCTTGTAGGAAATGTTTATAATATAAATCAGCCATCCAGTTCAACTGATAAAAATGATTCAGGTAATTGCAAAGAATATAAGCTGAAATATCTTTTTTTTTTTTTTTTTAAATTAAGTATGTGAAGTAAATTAATAATAATATTTAGAAACGAATGATTTATATTAGTGAATTTTAACTTTATAATAGAAATTTATAAATGACAATAAATAAGTGAAATTTGTCTGAATTTGCTAAAAGTTTTTGTTTAGAAAAAGTCTTTATATAAGACATGGTATATTTATTTACTGACTTTTATTGTTAGGGCACAAACGTAAACATTAAAATTAACTTTACAGTTTGTCTAGTAGATAGAAATTTTTGCATCAAACCACTTGCAGAAACATTACATTACAGTAATACCTTGACTTATGCTACCCCGACTTACTCGATTTTCAAATCTCGTCGATTCGTCTTTTGTTTGAGCGCCACGCAACTTTCGATTACTCACTTTCCCCACACTATTGTTCGGCTTACATGTTCGGACGTGTCGCGCGGAATTAACACATAGCTACAATTTATTTTGTGTTATTTATTTCTGTATTTGTTATATCTACGGTGACTCGAGAGACTCTACTATGCCATCCAAACGAAGTAGAACTAATTCTTCTGCATCAAACAAGAAAAGAAAAACTTTATTTTTGGAATGTAAAGTTAACATTAGGTACGTTCGTAAAGTCGAACGAGTTAAACGAAAATGACGTCATCGTTATTCCTATTTCGTTAGACTTTTCGAACGATTCGTTACTAACGCGTTTAACTCGTTTGACTTTACGAACGAACCCATTATGAAAGACTTCGATGCAAAAATGAAAATTTGTGAATTGGCAAAGCAGTTTGATCTACCGGAATTGTCGGTCAGAACAATTATAAAAGGCAAAGAAAAAATTCTCGAAGCTGTGAAAAATGCTCAATCTTTAAATTCAAGCATCATTCGTAAACGTCAC